TGCGTCGTGGGGCATCAATCATGCTGTTGGCAGCTGCCTACTAAGAAATAAAACTGGGGGAGAGAGGGGTTATTGCAGAGAAGAACCCATTATGGAATATTCTTTGTAGACATTGCTATTTAACGACACAGTTATTAAGAAAAATTTACAATTTCTGCAACGATTACACACTTTCACTGTTTGGACTACAGTTACTTAGGAAAGAATAATACATAAAAGACAAAGAAACTGCATTTTAAAACACATCCCCCTAAAAAGCATAAATAAACAAACACAATCTGGATGAGCCTATGTGAATTCTCAAAAACAGTAAAAAAGGTGAAAAGACTTTGATGAAGGAAGATTTGCTGCTCACATCAGAATGGATCTTCTATGTAGGAGAAAATACTAGAAGGTCAGTAGGGGGATTAGGTCAATTAAGTATTCCAGGCAGGTATAGAAGATTTAGGTCAGGGCAGGAGAACAGCAATATGATTAAGAAAGAAGGTCCAAGTGGCCAGGGACTAAGTCATGTCAGACAAAGACAAGAAACGAACTTTACATGGTAGGGAAGTACTAAATGCAAAAGGAAACCATTTCACTACCTTTATTTTAAAAGAAGAAACAAACAGAGAAACCAACCCTCATTCCAAGGGATGAGCGCCTGACAATGCACTAATGCCTGACAATGCATTAATGAAGTGCAGCTCACTAATTTGAGTGTGTAATACACACGGAGTAAATAGCTTGGCATCATTTATAGGAGAGCTACTGAACGAGTTGCTGAAGGTGTTGTGCGCTCTCCACACTTGTCCCTCAACACTGACTCGCTGACACAGGTGAATGGAACGTGAGTTGGCAGAAGGGCAGATGAATGCCAGGAGGTAGGAAGATAGGCTGAGCTTACAATAATCAGAAAAAAATAAATGTTCTTTGTAAGAAAAATGGTTACACAGAAGAAACACAAACGATATCTCCTGAAAAGACCATAAAGATGTTTACAACTACAAAGTTGTGGTAACTAAGAGTTTATATAATCGTAAGGCTTAAAGAAAAACACCAATTTTCACAGTGTTTGTCCTGCTACTCCTCTATTCATCAGCTCATGAAAGAAACTACAGGTATGTTTACAGAAGAACAATTATTATTAAGAATCTATTCTAGCTTCTGTGCATTTATATTATGTTTACATTATTCTAGTTCTTGTAATCCCTTACCACTATAAAATTTAAATACTTTCACTGTCTTGACAAAGCCAGAGTCAGTGCTTTGTACCAGAGACAGACTTAAAAAATGGACTTAAAACAGGGCACAAAGTTAGATTTTTCTCCACATGAAGGCAGTGTGGAGACACTTCATACTGTTTTAGTTTTTATGACTAACTTTTCAGTGTAGCTTCTGGGTTTTTTTTTACAAAGCTGTCATTACTAAATGTTTGACCAAAATTTGCCTATTGCATTGTGATTTTTGTTTTTTCAAAGGATGCTGCTTAAACAAGTATACACACTTTATGTTGAGGCAACAGGAGAAAAAAGCTCTAACGAATGGTTTTTTAACATCTGAAATTTTTAACCAATCAACAGATAAATGCCTTTGCATGACGGAAAATATCTTAAGCATATAACACAAAATATCTTCCACTAGATAAAAATCTGTCAGATCATTTTTTCACAGTGGAAAAGATGCTTATGCATGGGTTGTATCACCATCACAATTACTGCAAGAAATTACATACCATTTTCAACATAGGAAGTCAAAAGGCTAGTGAGGGACAAAAAATGTGGAAAAAAAAACCCACAAACCCTAAGTTGTGAAGTTAAGGGTAAAGTGGTGAAGGCTTGCAGAAAGAGTTTGTGAGTGTTAAGGACAAGGTTCAACAGCAATCACATCGATCACGACAACATCAGTGAGGTCTGGAGAAAGAAAACTGCGCATATTATGTGAAGTAAAATAGGTATCTATGGGAAAATGTAGCAAGTGACATTTCAAGTCAACAGGGTGGTAATGGAATTATGTGTAGATCACAAAGGAAACAAAAAGTGTAAGGTAGAAAGCTAGAAGAGTGGAATGAAAAAGAAATTTCTCTTTATCTCTCTAGGGAATAAAATTAAGAAAGAAGCAGTTACAGAAGTCTGAAAGAGATGGGCACCTGAAACACTCTAAGTAAACTCTTTTTGTGAAAGAGTAAAAGGAATACTTATTCCTCTGATCTTGGCTTCTTAAAGAACTGAGGACACAGGAGCTGTACAGCCATTCTTGATAGTCCGTAAAATGTAATTAGAAATTTTGTAAGTGAAGCACCGTTTCTGTAGCACTGAAAATCACTTCCAAATTTTAATAGAGATGTCACATGTACTGTAGAAGAGAAAGTGTGAAAGCGGATATCCATATAAAACCCAAACAGCTTAAATACAGTTGATTATACTCAGCAACTGAACCATATATTTGACAATATTACAGGAACAAAGAAACCCAAAGGTACTGAAAAATAAAACAGTTAAAAAGACTTCTCCCTAGACCTATGAGACCTAATATTAACTCTTGTAAATAAGAAGAAACATAATGAATTAAGAGATATTGAGCTACTGTAAAATGATCACAAGCATGGAAAAGAATAAAATATTTTAGGATTATTATGAAAAAATAATAGAGGGAGAGGATAAGTGAAATCCAAACTTAACAGACATCACTAAAATGAAGGTAAAATGTGTTCTTAGTTCCTTAAAGCTACACTTCAAGAGCAGTGTATTTTAAAGTGAAAATAGGCCTAAAAGGTTTGAGGCCTTGTTCATTTTGATTCCACATATTTTATGTGCCAGACAATAAAAAAAAATAAATTAAAACTAGAAAATATTTAACCCTCAAATGTAACAAATGCTCATCACATAAGTATGCAACTTTTCACTAGCCCCTAGTTTACAGTACCATGTGCTAAAATTTATGGTACTGTATGCTGAAGACTTCTCCAGCTTGTTAAGAGCCCTGTAGCATAAAACTGCTATTAGTTAAGTAATGGTTAGTAGTTAGTAGTAGCTAATAAGAATTACACTGTTAACCTTAAAAAAAATATTAACCCAAACATTATTTATTTCAGAGAAAATAAACACACATTTATTTATATTAACTGTGTTCCTAGTTTTTAAAGAAAATAAACTTTGTCAAATAACAAAAATACTCAAGTGACGATAGTCTGCTCTAAACTTTATATTTATAAACCAAACACACATTTTTTATTTTCTGCACTTCAGTTACAAGAACTAAAATGAAAACCTTTACAGTGTGGACAACTCAATAGTGAAGGTGTAAAGGTGCAACAAGTACAAAATAGAAAATGCAACTAATCTCCATTGCCAATCAGGAAATGCAAGTAATAAACACAGCCATTCAACTCAGTATACTCAAGTTGATATTTAAAGATTTTTTCAATGCCACTTATACCAAAAACTAATGAGAGGGTGTTAATGGTTACTTCTTCATGCCTGCATGCACAAATATAGTGGCAATGTTAAGGAAAAAGAAGATGGGAAAAACTTCAATAAGCATTACGGGCACCGGAATGTTTTGTGACAGCAACTCAAGACCCATCTAAGGCCCAGCAGAAGCATTTTTCTATTCTAATATTTGGGAAATTCAGATTTAAAGCCAAGTGTCCAACGTGCTGTCAAGTTTTAGATGTCTGAAGCTCGGTGGTTTGGGGTTTCTTCCCACAGAAATACCTGTTTTGTAGCACTGGCATGCTCAAAGCACGGCTTCTACTGATCTAAGCTGCAGTGGAAAATACTCAGCACTTGTGAAAGTTTTGCCAGAGATCTCTGAGTTTACAGGTCTTAAATATGAAGCAACTACCTCAATGAGTAAAGAGTGACTTGTCCACTACCACAGGAGAAATTTATGGAAGGGGAGAGAGTAGCATTCAGTTCTCTAAGGGGGCAATTCAGTCATCTGCCTTTTGCTTGAATCATGATGTGTGCCTTCTACTCTCCAAGTGTGTAAAAAAAGGAATAAAAAAGAAAGTGTTCTAGAAAGCTAATTTTATTAATGATGACGCACTAACAGATCTCTTGTGCACTACTGATTCAGTGCTTTACATGACACCGGGAATCAAATCAAAACTCATCTCTTGAATACACAAAGGACCAAAATAAAAGTTTAACAAACAATCACAATCATGGCATTTTGACATTTCTAAACGCTAAATTGAGTGCTTGAGGTACAATCTGAGTACGGTTTTGACCTTTTCACGTTGCTTTGCGGTTTTTAAAAATAAATCAGACACTGACTTTCCTAACGAAGAGTCAGTACCAAATGGATCAGCGGGGTGGGAATCCCTTCACCACTGCATGTGGCTTGATTATCTGGCTGCAGCGGTGCCCGGTCATCTTCCCTGAGGATCAGCCTTCATGTGGCACCAGGGTACTTTATAAGTTTCTCTGAGATACAGAGAAAACGGCAGCGAGGACCAGAAATCCCTGGCCACTCTCCTGACTCTCACAGACAACCTGTTCCAGAGGGGAGACGCTCCAACCTGCACCCACATCCAACTCCACCTGGTTCCTCTGTCAGCTTCCTCTACTCAGCGAGGTCTCTTCCGTCTTCCAGCACACAGCCCTACCAGAGCGCCTTCCACTCTTTTTAACTCTGCTGAGCAACAGAAACGGTGATTTTCAGAGACTCTGAGGCGGCGCCGGCGAGTTTCCCGGCTCCCTCACCCGCCACACATGCCCCGGCCTCCCCCCGCCTCCCGCCATTTCGGGGCAGCCCCGCTCCTCTCGGCCTGAGGGAAGAGTTCCCTTCCCGCCCTTCGCCGAGGCGCGAAGCCGGGGCCGCCTCGGTCCCCCCTTTTGCCAGTCAACCCTGCTG